AATATAAGTTCTAGTCGAAATTTCAAATTGTTTTTTTTCTCTCTTTTTCTTTTGAATTACTCCCCCACTGTAACGGTGCCCCGAAAAAGAAAATTGTTTTGATGTAAAATTATGAAACAAACAATTTATGTAATTGTAATATTCTATGTACAACAACAACAACACTCAAAACCAACACAAGAAGCAAACGAAAAACAAAATGAATACTTGAATAAAGTTGCATTCACAATTTTTAAAAAGAAAAGCGCCTTTTTATTTCGATTCTCAAAATTGTAATCATAATAATTGTAGTTGGGATAATTACGAAACGATATTTTTTTTGAGTGTGCGCGCCCACTTACATAGCTACTTTTCCTTCGTGCCTATCGAAATTGCGCGCAATATTGTTCGATAGTTTTTTTTTGCTTGTGGGCTGTTCGGCAGCGGCGCGTTTATCGCCTGATGCTACATGTATACATACACACACCTACACATCCAGTTTCCAACATTCCAGTTGTATTTATTTTTTAATGTGTTGTTGTGTGCGTTGGTACAGAAAACGGCGGAGCATTTCACTTGCCGGATAATTTTAGCGCGTTTTTTTAAGCATTCGGGAAAACAAACTGAAAACAATTGAGGAAAAGTGAAACATAAGCAATTCGGGAAAATTGAACAATTGTTAAATGCAAAGCCGAAATATGGGAAACTAAATATATTTATATACACGCATATACATACATACATATATAACTATATATAAATATACAAATATATTTATAGTGCACTCGTGTGCGTGTGTGTGCGTTTCACAAATGCCGACAAATTGGAGCGGCAAAGTGTTAAATATATGAAATGAATTGCAACTGATGCAACAATTGTGGAAAAAGGCATCAAAATATTTATAAAATACAATATACATATGTATGTATGTGCGGCATACGGACAGACACGACGTGTGTGTATGTATGAATAGAGACCGCCGTTTGCTGTAGCCGTAGCTCTGTGTGTGCGTGTGTGTGTGTGTGAGTACGAGTGTCTGTATGTGCGTGCCAGCCAACCAGCCAAGCAGCCAATGTGTGCATGTGGCTGTGTATGTGCGCGTATAATCATGTGAAAAATCGATTGGAARGCACTGGAAGTCAGTCAGTCGTATGGTCATTGGAACGGCCCAGCGGCAACGGTGGCGGCGCCAATTGTCATTTACTATCAAGCAAGAAGAAGAAACGTGCGCACGCACCAAAAGTAGCCACCAAAAAAAGAAAAAAGATAGAAAAAGAAGACAAAAATACAGTCAACTAATCTAAAACGAAAATAAAGCGAATCGCAAACACGCAACGGCATTTTTGCACAATAACATTGAATACAAAAAATACAAATAAGACGAAAAAGAGAAAAAAACACGAATAGTTGCGTCTAGGCGAGAACCGCAGTGAAAGGTGCGCAATTTCGTTTAGCTGAGACACAAACCAAACCGTACGTTTTGAATGCCATTTGTTGTTGTTGCTATCTGTATGAATATTTTTGTTGTTTTCATTTCTTTTCTCCCCCACTCGCTCATCCGACATTTTTGCATGTGCAGAGGAAGAAGAGGAAGAGCTGGCAGCCAGGAAAAATAGCTGAGGCAGCGTCAACGGCAGCGGTCAACATTTAGAAGCATATTGCAAATTGAT